ACCAGAGGGCAGACACTCCAACTGGTAGGTTAGCTTGCTGCTGGGGTCCAGCCGATCAGGACTGAGTGAGATGGGCCGGACATGCCCTGGAGCCCTCCTGCGGGGGTCCCTCCCCAGCTGGCCAACCTCCCACATCCCTCCCCAGGATCATGCACTGGTGGGGTCCCTCAGCCTGGCCTGCGCCCTCTCACAATCCAGGACCCCTCGGGGGATGTTGGAGAGCCGGTTTTGGGCCGATCCCACAGGCCAGACTGAGGGACCCCACTGGTGCATGAATTCGTGCACCAGGCCTCTAATAATTACATAAAGAAAATATGGCAAAATATTAAAATGATTAAGCCAGGGTGACCATTGTGTTCTTCTTTCACACTTTAAGTATCCGAAATTTTTCACAATAATTTGGAGAAAAAATTTTAAATAATAATGCACAATGACATGGGAAACATTCACAAGATAATGTTCAATGAAAAGTAGGCTTTAATTATGTGTGTGTGTGTGTGTGTGTGTGTGTGTGTGTGTGTCTGAATATGTGTCAGTGTGAGAATGTGTATTAGTGAGTGTATGAGAATGTTAGTGTGTGTCAGAATGTATATTAGTGTGAGCATATGAGAACATGTGTGTGTATGTGTCCCCATGGGTATGGTATCTGTGTATTGGGGTGTAGCAGTGTGTGTGTGAGAATGTGTGTCAGTATGTCAGTGTGTGTATGTGGGTGTGTCCCTGTGGGTGCAGTGTCTGTGTTGGTGGGGCAGTCTGGGGGTGCCTTCACTCATTCATTCACTCAACAGATGCTTTAAAATCAACAACCAGGCCCTTTTGGGACAATGGAAATGGAGCTGTGAAAATAGAGTCCCTGTCCTTGGCCACAAAGCTTATAATCTCAAGGAGGTACAGACAGTAAACACAGAAATATATTTAAAATGTGTTAGTAACCCAGCTGGTGTGGCCCAGTGGTTGAGTGTCAACCTATGAACCAGGTCACGGTTCGATTCCCAATCAGGGCACATGCCTGGGTTGTGGGCTCAATCCACAGTAGGGGGCGTGCAGGAGGCAGCTGATCAATGATTCTCATCATTGATGTTTCTATCTCTCCCTCTCCCTTCCTCTCTTTGAAATCAATAAAAACATTTTTTTAAAGTGGTAACCACAGTGCCGAAACCTACCAAAGGCAAACCCCCACAATATCATATGCAACAGGGACAAGAAAGGTCATACTGGGCCAGCAAGAGGAAAGGAAAATTAAGGGAAAATTAAGACTAGAGCCAGGTCAATGGGTAGTTTTCAAGTCAGGTAGACCTGGGTATGAACCCTCCAGCTGTGGGGCCTGGAGTGCACCACAGACACCTGCTGGGTACATGAGTGCTGAATGAAACCCTCCAAGCCAGCTTCCTCCTCCGCAAAACCAGACACAGTGGAGCCTCAGTTCTCCAACTTAATTCGTTCTGGAAGGCTGTTCAAGAGCGATCTGTTTGAAAACCATTTCCTTTAGAAATAATGTAAAATGAATTCATTCCAGACCCCCAAATGATTCCATTTTAATCTTTCTTATGTACAGTGTATGCCAAATGTGCTGTCTAATCTATAAACAAACACTTCTCTTCTTAAACGTATCGACCCACCCCTACTAGCCTCAAGAGACACTTTCAGCACTTGGTCCAGGGTGTCTTTCTGCTCAGCGTGGGGCATCTCCACTTGCTGTCACCTGCTAACCAAATCGCCTGTGATCAGTTTCTTTCACACGTTAGCAACATTAGCACTCTTGATGGCCTCTTTGCTTTAAAATTGTGCTAATCATCCATTTTGTCAGCAATAAACACACACACAAAATATTCACAGCACAATTTCCTGAAATGTTAGCATGGTAAACTGACTCACATTGGTGTATTTTCTGTGGCCTGAGATTTTTGTCATGCTGACATCTTATATAATAACTAGAGGCCCAGTGCACAAAAATTTGTGCACTCGGGGGGCAGGGGAGGGGGGGGTCCCCCAGCCCAGCCTGTGCCCTCTCGCAGTCTGGGACCCCTCGGGAGATAACGACCTGCTGGCTTAGGCCTGCTCCCGGGTGGCAGAGGGCAGGCCCAATCCCTAAGTGCAGCCCCTGGTCAGGCTCAGAGCAGGGCCGATTGGGGAGTTGGGGCGCCGCCCCGTCATGCACAGAGCAGGGCGGATCGGGAGGTTGCGATGCCACCCTCACTCACGCTCAGGGTAGGGCCGATTGGGGGGTTGGGCCACC